TCTGTTCTCTGGTTCTGGGCCTGTGTTCTGTTTTTCACTGGTTCTGTCGGTTCAAATGGTGTTTGAATGCTTCAGGGAACATTTTAAGGGTCTTAAAGAACATGTAGGACTGTGGTGTGTTTTAGAGGGAACTTTAACTCAGACGAAGTGAGCAGATCTTTCATGGCTTCTAGCTGCACACAGACGGTGGACTCCACGGATGTTCTGTCTGCTGATGTGTTTTGTTTCTGGGACATGAAGTCAATCAGCTGCTGCCTGGATGAAGAACCTGAATGTGAAGCTGCTGAGTTTGTCCTTGAACATGTGAAGCAGATCAAACTGACACACGTTGATGTTATCAGAGCGTAACCAGCTTCTCTTCCTCTTCCAGCTCCAGATGAAGCTCCGATCGACACAAACCTGATCGAGTTTGACACACAGTAAGCCACCGTCTTCCTGTCTCGGCCTCTCTGCGCTGTGATTGGCTGCTGGGCTTTACAGCCTCGTCGATTAGCTGCCGGCTGAGAGGGTTTCCTCTGAACATTAACTGTGATGGACTCATCTCCTGAGCTGCAGCCTTAATGCGTCTTAATGCAGCTGCAGCAGGAAATGGGCTTTAAAGTGAGAGCCGCGGTGCTGTCAGCAGACCAACCCCGAGAGTCCACTACCTCATTATGACGGCAGCTTCATGCGCAGCACACAGTCAGACTGAATGAGGAGGTTCTGGTTCAGACTTATTCTGGTTTTATGACACAGAACTACAGAAACCAGAGAGGTTCGGATCCGATCATTTATCAACCGATCAGTATTGAACCTTCCCATCACAAGTCTAAAGGGAGGCACAATCTGAGGCGTGAACTCTGAATCAGTCGATCCCAGTTTACCTTAAACCCCTGAGCTCTGCTTGGAGGTCCTGAACCTCCTCAGAGTCTCTGTCATGGTCGTGCTAAACTCCCACAATGCTCTCTGCTGCCACCAGGAGCTGTAGTCTGTAGACGCCTCCTCTGGTCTCTACAGGATTAAGGGTTAGGGTTGAAAAAAGTTTCAAGTCATTGACATTAAAATGTAACTCAAACTAAACCAAGTTTTAGCAAAATCCACTTTATATGATAAAGTGTTAAATGAGATTTAAGTTGTGTTTGGTGTGTCCATCAGACGATACTGGCTGGACTGGATTAACTGGGTCAAATGGGTTGTTGGCTTGATAACCGTCGACCAGAACATTGGACTAACCTCCAGAACCGTCTCCTTCCACAGCGACGATGACATCATCTTTGAAGACTTCGCCCGGCAGCGGCTGATTGGTGCGAAAGACGACAAGGACGAAGACGAGGAACCGGTGGATTCGCCCAAACTCAACGACAGATAAAGGCGCCGAGCGTCACCGCCGCCGCCGCCGCTGTTGTTGTTTCGCTGCTGTTTAGTGTGGAGCTAACGGAGGTCCTTTAGGTCAGTCTGGACACCCTCTAAACACTCGGTGGTGTTTGTGTTTCATGTCCGTCCTCTCTGCGTCCTGAATCCTGCAGCTAGACATCAGTTCCAGAAGGAGCAGCTCTTCTTCGTCAGCCGGCTGGAACACTGAACCGCGGCATCGTAACGCCAGCTGGTAGCATGCCTCTAACGTCTCTTTGTTCTACGTGTTTCCATTAGCGACGAACAGGAGTCAAGTTGTGTTGAGATTAGTTTCAATGTTCTGTATCAGAGGGTCTTCATAACAACAACAACACTGCCAACTGTGGTTGATCTGAACAGTTCACCGTCGGCGCCACGACACGGACTTCAGCTGACCGAGGTCCATTCAGCTAACAGTCGCTCTGTACGCTGAAGAAACAGCAGACAATCTGCAGGACGTCCGAGCTGCCAACAGGACCTTAAACTGTCAGAGAGCCACCAATCAGCTGAGAGGACGGTGGCCTGTTTGCATGAAATACATCAATACTTTCTATGATTTATTAATGTCATGAATAATCAGCCTTTCTAGAGACGAGCCCTGATTTTAACAAAGCGTTTGTTGTTTCATGTTTCCATCGTCAGTGTTCAGATGATTTACTGCCTTCATTTCTATGAAAATCACCGTCTCTTTATGTCCCTCAGAACTACCACCAACACAGGACAGGAAGCATTAGCTGTGTGGCTAATGCTAACAGCCCGGTTGTGTTGAGAGGCAGGTTTTGTTACCGACTGATCTCGTAGAGAAGACACCAACTGAATGCTAGTTTTAAACTCTCTAACGTCCCAGAGACATTTTAATCGCAGACATTTTATGGACAGAAATGTAAATCAAGACATAAACTCCTGAAGACAAACGTGTTGCCTTCAGACGACTTTGCTTTTGACAACTTTTGTTCATGAGAAACTACATTTTCGAAACGGATCTGTTTCCCAAAGTTAAGTGTTTTTTTTCTTTGTAATCTAAAACTTTGAGTTTTGTGGAACCGTTTCACGTCATGAGTCAGTCTGTTCAGAAAGCTGTTCACCAAACCGCCGATTCCTTCAATAGGTCAGGAGATAGCAGCTCGGCACGAAGGAGCCCAGAGTTGTTGCAGAGAAACATCGACGCAAACCGACTCTGATGCTTGAAGAGTAAACCCAGAAGATGACAAACTAACGGACGGTTTTTGTTTTTTATTACCGCGTGATGACAAAAGGCAGAATTTCTCTCTGTGGGCTGATTTTCATAGAAATGAAGTCAAACTGTGCTGAACAGAGGAAGGTAGTCGAACCATTAGCAGAGCATTTATCAGATTAACAAAAATCACCGGTTTGGTCCTTTGATGATCAATTATTCATGTGCAGCATCAGGAGACTCCAACAGAGTCACAGTGTCATTACTGAGCTTTTATTTTGAAAACCAGTTAGAGCGAGCAGAGTGAATCGGTGACCAGCGTCCTCCAGGTGAACTTAGTGCAGGTGTGTTGTTGTTTGTGTGTGTGAGTGATGACGGAGGACGCTGCCTGTAGTTTACCATTTTATCACAGGAACACATCACAAACACCAGAAGTCTCTTTACTCGTGTGATTCCAGCTGATTTGAGTTTGACAGGGCCAGAAGCAAACTTGTATATTTCACTGCATCTTTAATAAAAGGACGTTTGTGGCAGTCGCTGAGTCTTTCGTCTTCATGATGTCACTGGAAATAAATGATATTTGGGAGAAAATGAAACCTCAGTGCACACAGAAACAGGAAGTTTAAACCCAAATGTCTGGTGTTGGACATTTTACGACATGACAGTGAACATAGAGATGAAACTTTAAAGAGTTTCAGTCTGTTTGGTTCCACAGAGGAGACGTGGAGCAGCAGCTATCAGGACCTTTGGTGAAGAGTTTTGGTGCAAATGTCTTTGTGGTTCCACTGTAGATCCAACAGCTTCCACAGAACCTTTACTTCAGTAGCAGGCTGATGTTTGCTGGTTGTTGTAGCTGGACGTCATGTTTGTGCTTTTCCAGCAGGAGAAACTTTCACAGACAGGATTGTCTTCGCTCGCAGTTTAAAAATCCTCAGAAAGCCGTTGCGGATCTCTTTGGTCCGGACGCCGTAGATGATGGGGTTGACTGTTGCCGGGAGCAGAATGTACATGAGACCCATGAAGGTGTTGACGTCGGTGGGAATGGGGATGTTCAGGTTGTGAGACAGGAAGGTGACGCTGCCCACCAGGTAGAAGCACATCATGACCATCAGGTGAGTCCCACAGGTGTGGAAAGCCTTGCGGCGGTCGTCACCGGCTGCTGCTTGCAGCACGACGCTGATTATCTTCACGTAGGAGAAGAAGATGAGCGGTATGTCCACGCCTACGAAGCAGATGATGACGGCGAGGCCGGCTGCACTGTTCCTGGCGGTGCTGCTGCAGGCCAGGCTGACCAGCGCCATGTGGTCGCAGTAGCAGTGCCGGATAACGTTGGAGTCGCAGAACCGCAGAGAACCGGCCAGACCCACCAGCGTCGCCATGATAGAGACGCTCCGCAGCAGCGTGAAGAGCAGCAGCTTCGCCAACGTGGACGAGTCCATGATCTCGGCGTAGTGCAGCGGCCGGCAGATGGCGACGTATCGGTCCAACGCCATCGCCAGCAGCAGCGTGGACTCCACCGAGGACAGGAAGTGAGTGAAGAACATCTGAGTCAAGCAGCCAGCCAATGAGATGCGATTCCAGTCGAACAGGAAGCCGAGCAGCATGTTGGGGATGATGGCGGACACCACGAGGACGTCGACCACACACAGCAGGCAGACCAGCAGGTACATGGGGCTGTGCAGGCTGTCCACGCCGCGGATCACGTAGACCACCAGAGAGTTTCCCAGCAGCACCAGCAGGTAGGACGCACAGAACGGCAGCGCCAGCAGCCGCCGGTGCTTCTGCAGCTCTGGGAAGCCTCTGAACACGAAGCTGCTGTGGGAGAAGTTCTGACCCAGCGACGCCTCCAACATGGTGCTGGACTCACCTGAGCAGAAACAGAACCAACCAACACAAAGATCAAAACCGTCTAGAAATGGAATCAGTTCATTCAGTATAGAGGATGTCCCGGGCTCAGGTGCCCTCCTGAGAGAGTCACAGTATTATATGTGCGGTAGTAGAACGTCGTAGGAAACAGAAATCAGAGTGAATTAGGTCGTACAAACGATCATATTACACAAAGTAGTAAACCCATCGTAGTGTTTCTCTATATGTACATGTGTGTATTTACTAAAGTCAGTCTCTCTGCAAATCTACAGCTCAGCCAACCAATGAAAGTCCTCTCAGTGATCATGAACTTCTCTCCTGTGATCAGTCAGTGTGTGTGCTGGAAGCAGGTGTAGATCAGTGACGGAGGAACATCAGCACAAGGTCAGCGAGTAGGAACACACGGTGAGGATGACAGGCTGCACATAAACCAACAGACACACACATACATGATCTAAACAGGATAGAAACACACTGAACTGCCCGATGAACCAAATGCACAACCAGGACTAAAGGCAGCACTTGAACACAACGTAACCTAAAACTGAAGCACTCAAGTCAACAGTAAGTAACTAGGAACAGGATTCAGCTGCTGCAGGTCTCAGCAGCTCAGTGGCATTTATCCGCTGTAAGACATAAAGTATCCAACGGTCCTTGAACTCATCATCTGTGACACGTGGCTCAATCGGAAAAGGTTTGAAACTCAGATTGGCAGGAAATGTTCAGAGAGCTTCAGGTGAGCTGCAGCCAGAGTTTCCTCAGAGAGACTGAAGGAGAATCCATCCTACTGGATCAATGAATAGATGCAGCACGGATCAGAACCAGAGGAGCCAGTTGGTGGAGATACATTCATCTGATGGTGGAACATCTTAACGAGACACAAAATGAGAAAACATCCATTATCTATGCTGGAGGGAGCTGGAGCCTATCCCAGCTGACTCAGGGTGAAGACAGGTTCACCTGGACAGGTAACCAGTCTATCACAGGGCTACACTTAGAGACAGACAACCAAGCACACTCACATTCACACCTACGGACAATTTACAATCACCAATTAACCTCAACATGTTTCTGGACTGTGGGAGGAAGCCGGAGAACCCGGAGAGAACCCACACTGCACGGGGAGAACATGGAGACTCCACGCAGGAAGATCCCGGGTGTCCTCACCGGGACGCCAACCGGCGACCTTCTAGCTGTGAGGCGCTAACGGTGCTAACGATGCTAACGATGCTAACCGCTGATCCACCTGCAGCCCCAAAACAACCACAAAGATTCAAAATAGTTTCAGACACAAAACGACTCCAAACAAGAAAAACGAGACAAAAGATGAACACAAAGAAGCAAAAGTGTCCCAAAGAGACGCAGAATATGAGAAACGCGACAGAAACAGCAGCTTGTTTTTTAACTGCTCATCATGACCTGGACTGACAACGACAGATTATCATCAAACACATAACAGTGAACCTTACCTTCGACAGGTAGCGCTGTGGCCGTCTCACCTGCAGCGGCGGCGGCTTCGTCGGGGAAAACTTCGCCTCCTCTCAGCTTGTCTTAAAGCCGAAAGTCCAGACGTCCCACAGGACCTGAACACAGCTCTGTGATTGGCCGAGAGTCTCTGATGGTTTAGCTTCTCTGGAGTTTGGTCAGTTTTATACCTCCGAGGTCACTTTGTGTGTTTTTGTGTTGACGTTTGTTGTGATAATCAGATTTATTTACGAGCAAAACCTGGGATGTACATACCTGCAGGTGTGACAGGAACATTTATGGGATGTTTATGACCTCATTAACCAATAAAGTCCCAGAATGCTGTTGCTGAACAGAACCAGCCTGGTGATGTTCCGCCCGGCGGCTGCGTTACGATTGAAACAGTAAATCAGAGACTCGTGTCCTCGGAGGGTTTCCTGTGAAATCTAATTCGTCTCCTTCAGGAATCTCTCAGCGTTTGTTGTCGTCTCTCCTGCAGCTAATTGGCCTCGAGGTCGACGCAGAGCAGAGTTTCCTCCAAAGGACGCTGAGATTAATTATCTGCTCGGCTTAATTAGTCTTTCCTGTCCGACTGCTGGGACTGGCTAATGAGATTCAGACTAAACGAAGCGACCGACGTGTTGAACGGCTTCACGCTACTGAAGTCTGACGTCCTCAAACACAAACAGACGCTTTCATGTCCAGCTGTTGGCTATAAGCAGCTTTAGACTCTGAATGTTTCTCAACCTAAAAACAGTTTAAAAGGACTCAGTTCATCAGCCTGAAGCAGACAGAATGTTCAACTTTCCAACGGTCCCTGAACGTATCGTCTGTGACGCGTGGCTTCAACAGACAAATGAACTAAATCTGAGTTTTAAAGTTTAATAAAATCCCTTCATTCAGAGTTTAAAGATTCCCTCTGACCAGATTGTGTGAGACCCAGAACACGCCTTCCTCCTCAGAACACCTGGTTCTCCATGACGGTGACCAACAGGTGAGCTGCAGCCACACTAGAGGCTGTAGGACTGGAGGTGCTTCAACATCTACAGCATGCAGGCAGAACTTCAGCTCCAGGGTCAGAAGCATCTGTGGAAGGATTCTGCCTCCAGGTCGGCTTCATGTTTTCATCAAATTCATAGAAACGAAATCAAAACAAAGACAAAAAAACACCAAAAAGACACAAAAAGCCGACAAAGAGTCAAAACGACCAGAAAACCACCACAGAGGAGACAAAGGTATTTATTATGGTA